TATACTCATCCTACAGGTGTAAGCTGAAATCTCTCCCTCAACAATCCTTATTATGCTACCTTCCCAAAGTGCATAAGATGTTCCCATTTCTTGCTTTCTTGGGCCCTTGCATGTTTCCTTTTTAGTACTTACAGTTGTATTTTATACCTATATTACATTAACTACAACTATAATACATAAGAGTCTTTCCCCCTGACTAGTCAGCGAGCTCAGATATATGTATCCTGTACCAAGGGAACAGAAGACAGAGGAAGAAAAGTGAGGGCACACCATAGGTATCAACTCCTATTTAAACCTGTCCTTTCTTCAGTCTGGACATGTCCCTCAACAGGGAAGATAACAACTATCTTCATCAGACCAATGGAATGTCAGCCTTTTGAGTTTATTATTTTTTTCAGAATGTTTATAATCCTGCATGGGGCTAGAGTTGGAGAGGTATTAGTGGGTATATGAATATGCACTATTACTCTTTTTAAAAATTGGCAGAGTAAAGATCCTGTGGTAGGGGCAGAGGGAGAGAAAAGAGAGAGAGAGACAGACAGACAGACAGACAGAGAGAAGTGATTCATCTGATATTGAAAAGCTTTATGCAGGGAAAGGGGGGAGGAATATTTTACTTCAGGAAAAGAAAGACATCATCATCAAAACTAATGACTCCAAGTGGAGGAAGCTATCCCAGGATCAGAGTCAGTTCCCAGAAACTTCAACAACCAGCACAAACCCAACTCAGATTCTTCAGAGGCCTCTAGCAAACCCCACCCAGCAGTTCCTTAACCAAGTTACCAACTTCCTGTTTCCATTCCTTCCTTCTCCACACAACAAACATAATTTTAAGGGTCATCAGAAATCTTGAAAGAACTTCTAATCTAACCCTTCACTCTAAAATTTTTCTTTAATTAAAATAACTCAGTCATCCATCAAGAGATCCTACTAGATTCAAAGCCTTTGCTATTTACCAAGTATATGCACATGAAATAATTCCTGACCTTAAGAGGGTTGGTCCAGGAGTAGAAAGTATGGGGAGGTAACCAGAAAGGACAGATAGATAGAGTGCATTCATCTCTTACAGTCCCATTTCTTCATAATCATTTCCCCAATTTGCTTTCTGCACATATGTCAGGGTTAGTTTTAGCATCCATTATATTAACAGTGTTAAGTGTTTTTAAGTTTCCTTTCTTTGATATCAAATTCTTATTATCTCAGTTTAGGGCAAGTTCTCACAGATTCCCCCTTTCAGAGTAGATCAGATTTTCCCACTGTTTCCTTCACAGGTCCCTTTACTATTTCTTTATAGTATTTATCTCAGCTGTAATAAATATATACCCTTCTTCCATATTAGGCAATAAATTCAAATTATGGGTACCTTGTTCCAGGGAAAGACAAGACAGGGATGGAAGCAGATTCATCCTTGTGCTTATCAACTCTTATTCCAACTTGCCTTTTGCTCTACCCTGATATAACTCCTGTGTGTGCTGGCAACCAGGGGCTATAAAGCCTCTATATGAATTGAAAGGCAAGATTGTCCTAAAGCAGTTTGGGGGATAAGAAAGATCAACACTTAAATCAGTATTCTCCAGTGTGGTTCTCATTCAAGCCTCAAGCTGCCCTCTGACCCAGGCTGCAGGCTCCAACACTACTCCATACACAGCAGTTGAAAATATACTACACAGCAGTTGAAAACATGCTTCCTTCATACAGGTGTTCTCAGTTCTAAAAATTATTTTTATTGTTGCTAGTTCAGAGGAACTGTATTTCCTTTACAGTCATTCGTGGTTTTTTAAAAATATAGCTAGCTGCCTATACCTATTGCCTTCTTAGGGATACGAGCTATGGAGCTATAGAGTCCTTGTCTAGTCATTATAAACTCAGGCCATTGTCTCTCTGCTAGGGAAGACATCTCAAGATGTGCTTTTTCTATGCAAACTGACCTAGAAGTGACACTTTCTAAGACCTTGACTAACTAAATAAGCAACATGGTCATTTCTACTCCCAGAGGAATCTTTCTGTTGCTTTGAAATCTTGTTGGCTCACAGAACCTCAGCAGGACAAGATGGCTTATCTATTTTGCAGCCTCATGCACTTAAAAGTACCATGCAGTTATTTTTTCTTTTGAGTTCAACTGTCTTCACATGAGGCCTGAAAGAAGGGTATGTGACCATTTTGTCTGTGCCTCAGTATATAAACAGGAAAATCTTGCTCTTATTTATCAGTTTCTTCCAAACTTTATGATATGACTTCTTCTTGTTCTTTGGATTCAAAGTCAGAAACGGACTGCTCCCATTTATTTCTGTGTGTGTCTCTGAAGCAAATAGCCCAGAAGAGCATGAATCATGAATAGGGTGGGGTGGTGGAGGATTCACTCTAAGAGGAAAACAACTGTGGGCACTTTAAAAATATCCAAACAAAGATTATAATTTTAACATCCAAGTTCTGTTATTGTTATGATAGCTTAAGATTTTAATTTATTTTTAAGAGATAATAGCTCAAAACAGTCTTCTCATTGAAATTATATTTTTACATATGGCAGACCTAAATAGAGCTTATTTTATGATGTACTTCCCATATCACCTCAAATAAGATTTCTATCAAGGGAGTCATCATAAAGCATGAAATGTCTGTTCATAGGATGTTGAATTGTTGTAAATGCAGCTATAGAATTCTGATATTATGAGTGACCAATACATACTATGAAGACAGCAAAATCCTACCTGTGTAACTGAGGATGTGAAGAACTTTTTCAGTATGGTTATGATCAGAGTTCCTGAAAGGATGGAGACCTGGTCTTCCTGTGTGCTAAAGAGAATGTAGAGAAAAGGTTAGTTCAAGAAGAATTAACTTAGAAGGTAATACACATACACAGGAAATCAATGTGAGTCAACTCTCTGTATAGCTATCCTTATCTCAACTAGCAAAAACCCTTGGTCCTTCCTATTATTGCTTATATTCTCTCTTCAACAAAATTAGAGATAAGGGCAAAATAGTTTCTGCCAGACAGCGAGGGGGTGGGGGGAAAAGGGAGGGGGCGGTAAGGGAGAAGGTGGGGGAAGGGAGGAGAAATGTCCCAAACACTGTATGCACATATGAATAAAATAAAAATTTAAAAAAAGAGAGAGAATGTGATAGAGACTGATTTGAGTATTTGCTTGACTGGAAAGACTGAGTTAAGAAAACTCCATTAGTGTGAACCAACTTTACTGAAAGTCATGCTTCTGACAAAATAACACTGAAAGTTGTGCCTGACCAAATGGTTTTGGCCACTTTTACAGGATATGTACAGAAATTTCAAACCTCTGAGTTTTTTACATTTAAAGAGAAGGAATTGTAATCCTAATTGGTATAGGAGAAGACAAGGGAATGAGGTGCCTGAATATGTTCTACTGCTTCTCCTGCAACATAGGAGAGAACTGGCAGAGTGAAGTTCCTGCTTTAAAAAAAGAAAAATGAAATGATGTGTTTGATCTGATTTTTGAAAAGCATTAACCAAAAAATAAAGAACAAAAACTATTTTCCTTCAGAAAAGGAAAGACACAATCATCCAAACACCTGGCATCATGGGGACACAAGTGTCTCAGAAACAGTTTCAACATCCAGAACTGCCAACAACCAGCACACACCCGACTGTGAGTTTTCCCCAGACTTCTCAGTTTCAACTTCCAGAACTGCCAACAACCAGCACACACCCGACTGTGAGTTTTCCTCAGACTCTCCAGTTTCAACTTCCAGAACTGCCAACAACCAGCACACACCCAACTGTGAGTTTTCCTCAGACTCTCCAGTTTTAACTTCTAAAACTGCCAACAACTAGCACATACCTGACTGTGAGTTTTCCCCAGACTCCTCAGTTATCCCCAGCTACAGTAGCCAATAGCCCCTATATCCCAGGTTTTTAAAACTTCATATACTATATCTTGAACTGCCATTTAATCAACCAATATAGATATAAATTCTTTTTTATACATGAAAAATTTCATGGCTATTCCATATATTCCATTATAAAAATAATTTTATGTTATTTCTAGTCTTCCTTACACCTTCAATGAACTTATTCAGAACAAGTGTTTGTGAGTCTTCTTTTATCACCTTCACATAATTATATAATTTCTTCCTAACATAATTATATAATTTCTTCCTAAGTCCTATGCAGTTTTTGTCAGGATGTTGATGCCACTATTATAAGGTCATCACTACTTAAGTTACATTGTGAATGCCCTTTTTGGTGTTATAAAAGCATTTGACCAGGGCTGGAGATGTAGTTCAGGGGTTGAGTGTTTGCTTAGCATGCACAAGGCTCTAGTTTCGATCTCCAGAACTATGAAAAGGATAAAAAAAGGATTGACCAGATAGATGATATATCAGAATTAATTCCCTCCATCCACAGGTCTCAGTCTATATAATTTTTCAAGATGGTTCTCATTAAACACGCCTGGTCTACAGCTGCTTCCATTTACTTGTTGCTAGATATCTTAGGCTTTGTACTTCCTCTTCCACATCAGCAACTATCCTTCCAATTCAAACTGCTCTCCTGGAACTTAGAAATAGTGCAGGGCACTGAAGAGATACGTGATCAAAAACAAAACAAAAACAAAACTCCTTCATCCTTAACTTTTCCAAACCCATGATTTTCCTCACTGCCTACTATTATACAAACTGAAGAACCTCTATCCTGAACCTGTTCAAATTAGGAACGTTCTTATGAAGTTTTTTAGTGGCTGACTTATAACTCTTGCAAAACATGCCTGATGTGTTAAAAAGAGTTTTGTGATTTGAATCTTTCAGTTGCCCCTATTTACTATAATTAGTGCCAGCTGAAATTACTACATAACTCTTCTCCATTTTCTAGGTTATACCATGTTAGCTATTGTTTAGATTTTCCCTAAATCCACCCAATGAAGGTATTACTTGATGATCAACAATGAGCCTGAGATGCTCTCACTAGACAGCAACCCATTATTTATATATCTTGATTATTCCATTGTTTTTGCTGTGTGCATTCTATGTAGAAACCAAGAGTGACTGCTGTACCTAAGGAACCTTCCAATGAATGTGGCTACCATAGGGAATGCAAAGAAGTGATGGTGTTGAAAGCAACAAAGCCATTTATATATGAGTACCTAGAAGGGGAGAGAAGTATGTTTCATGCCACAGTGGCTACTGAGAAGGAATTCTTCCGAGTGAAAGTTTTTGACATCAGTCTGAAGGAGAAGTTCATCCCAAATAAGATCATTACCATATCAGATTATATCGGTCGTAATGGATTCCTGGAGATCTACAGCCTCTCCTGTGTGGATTTTGCGAGCCCTGACCAAAAAATGAATATCCCAATTTCACTGAAGCAAAATGCCAATGCAAATCCTAAAATCAAGTATCTTTGCTCACAAACTAAAGGAAAATGTGTGGATGGAGTGTTTTTGGTCCATAAGGTAAGCAACAGTATTATTTTGTAAAATTTCTTCTGCAATCCCATATTAAAAGGCTTAACTTGCCAACTGGAATATGGTCAACTTACTCAACATGGGAAATCAAGGCTTCCTTGAACATATATGAATGAGGTCTTCCCCATTCAGGATATAAGATAGTCTTTTAACATTTCTTTTTTCAAGGGATCACCATGCAAATTCTTTAGAAAGAGATTCACCAAGGAACCTTAGCATTGTATCAACTTGATGACCCAATCATAACCAACCTCATAAGAACAAAGTGTAGTTTATAACCAACTTGTATCTCCTTAAGATTTTCTTTGAGTTCTTTCTTATGTATATCATTAGCAACTTAATTGTGAATAAAGAATTGAACTCCTAAAGTTGCAAACTGATTATAACAACCAGAAAAAGAAATTGAATAGATTATTCTGTCTCCAGATATAGCTATATTGAACAATAAGCTATGATTCTGACTATCTGGACTTTCATGTGCTTTTACTTCTTCCCATTCATTACTGTCATCAGAAGATTGTTGAGCAAGTGACTTCTTTACTGGATAATGAGAGAAACATAGAAGTTGAACAGACTGGAGAAATGCTTAATCTCACAATTAAACGGATTTAATATCTGGACAAGTTGGAGTAGAGTGAATAAGTGGAGAAGACAGAAGAAATTGTAGATTGAGATAACATAGTTCACTTTTGTCATGATTTGGGGAGCCACAGGTTGGTAAAGAATTGACTGAGATGGAGAATAGGAGAAAACAAAGATTTATTAGGATGCCATTAAAAGGGGAGATGATTGTGGCTCACTATTTAAAGGATCATAGCACACTGAGAAAGGGTTGACAATAAGTTAGAACACTTTTAATGGTTCTCTCTCTTTTTGTGGGCCTTACTGATTGGATGTCTCTTCCTTTGATCATGATTTGAATTTTGCTTACACAAGAATATCACTACAAGCTTGGCTTTTACTTCCATGTTCTATCTGGGCCCCCAGTGACCTGATCCCCATTCCTCCCACACCCATTCCATTTGTTCCTTGGTATTTCTTTGTCTGCTATGTTTCCTTAAAATGGGTCCTACATCTTATTTATGAGGACTTGCAATAGCCTTTCTCAGACTCACAATGAGCCATAAATGGCCTTTTCCCTGTACTTGTTCAGGTATCAAAGTAGCCTACAAAAGTAATCAGATTTTTCTTTATCCAGGCTCCTTAAGAAATCTCAGCTATGCTGATGTGGTAGCTTTAAAAATTAGGAAGACAATCAACTTTTCTAGAAAAATCTAGTGTAATAAGACCTTAAGTAAGCTTGAAAGAGTTTCAAAAGAAAGGATTCTGTGACCAAAATACTTTATGCTATTTGGTACTATAAGAGGTGTTCAAACTGCTTTTGATGAAAAGCATGGTCTCCTTACTCAGGTCCACGAATTAACTAAAAGTAGGAGGAAAGCATGGCATCTATCCTTCATTTTGTATCTGTTTTTGCTCTTAGCCATTCTCTTTGCAGTCACTTTGCAATCGCCTTGGATTCTAGGAAAGACAGTTAACATATTCATGACCAGGGACAGAAACCACTCCCAATAGTAGAGCCTTTTCAGGGTGGATCACCCTCCAGACAACAACTTTAAAATCTTTCCCAGAACAAGGGCTGAGATAATAACCAAGAAGACCTTATCTGTTACTAAAACTGTTTAACTACACATACCTTTTATCCCATCTCTAGTTCTTTAGTCTATACCCTGAAGACGGCTGAAGATGAACTGAGCACTTACTATGCCTCTTCCCATGGCATATCCTGAACCATATAATAATCTTTCTCCACCCTTCACCATGCTTCTTTATTTGGTGTATGGGTCAAGTGGCCAGACCTTGCTTGCAGAATCCTAGAAGTTTGGGCCTTGGGTACAAAACTCAGTTTTAGTACCTGTAATTCTAAAGATACAGCTCTATTTATCTTGTCAGAAACAAAAGCTTCCACTAACACCCTTCATGTGTCATAGATGTGAAAATTCCTGATACACGTCTCAAAAGATGAATATTAATTTTCTTTTGCAGAAAACTGTAAGGAGAGGATGTACATACTATGAAATACAAGATAATACTGGGAAGATGGAAGTAGTGGTGTATGGACGACTGACCAATATTGACTGTGAAGAAGGCGATAAACTTAAACTCTTCTGCTTTGAATTGGCCTTTAGCACCGACAAGTGCCAGTTGAGATCTGTAATTCACAGTTACATTGAGGTGGGTACTTTGGAAAGCATCATTCTTCCAAAGTAGCCAGTTACCTTATGTACTTTAATAAAACTTGACTGCTGCTGTCACACAGCATTCAACAGATAAAAAGATAACTAAGCTTTGATCACTATGTATGTAAACATTATTCCCATCATTTTGGAAAAAAAATAAGGATGTCTTTGGTCATAGTAAAGAAAGGTAATCCAAAGAGATTTTCAAAAGTTATTATATCCCCAAACTAAATAAGAAAGAACTTGTTGAATTCATCAAAGCAGAGAGATAATTTAATAAGAATTTGAGTTTGATTAAGGCAGACTTATTTGAAATTCTGGCTCTGTAATTTTCTTGTTGACAAAAACATAAATGCTAGGAACCTCAGGGTCATCTATAAAACAGGGCAAATTTTTTTCTACTACAGAGGTTTGTCACCAGAGCTCACAACAGATATAAATTACAAGGACCACCAATCAAACATTCCAAAATTTCCCTCACAGAGCTTGCACCAGGAGTGCCTGTTGTACCCTCCTTGCACCCTTGTGCCTAATGAAAACCTTCTACTTAGCTCTCATCATTGGGTACATCAGCTCCTCCTCCCTTGTTGTTCTGTGACACTTCCTGCTTTTACTACCTGTGTTCCTGCAGGATGGGAGACAATATCTCATTTCATGGTTTCAAGCAAGGGAGGAAGTAAGGGTAACTCTAAGAACAGAAAGTCATTAAAGGAGATAGGCTAGAGGGAAAAAAGAGATGTGCCATGGAGAAGAGATGGTAGGAATGAAAGAAGAAATGTATAATTGGCTGCATTCCCACTCGTCTAACTTTATCACTTTCTTCTTCAAGGTGATCAAGGCCAGGAAAAGCAGGACAAAAAACTCTCAATCCTGTTTCAAATACGGAAACTTCACTAACACCTCCTTCGCAAAAGCCTGGATGCCAGGCTGGGGATGTAAATAAGTGGCAGAGTGCTTGCCTATTGTATACAAGAACATGGGCTTGATCCTCTGCACCATAAAAAAATATATGAAGAAAAATTGATGCCACCGATTACAACATTTATGGAGATAAGATACAAGTACACACACACAAAAAAAAAAAAAAACCTGGCTGCAAGAGTGGCTGAAGTGCCAGAGCCCCTACCCAGCCACAAGGCCTTGAGTTTAATCCCCATTACTGCCTCCTCAAAAATAAAACAAGTATAAAGATCAGTTCTTAATTCTAGAGAATAGGATCTTAGTGTTACTTTTTACTTCACTTTTTATACTTCTTTGTATTTCATAAATTCCACATTTTGCATCTAGAACTTCTACAATTTGAATAAACTTTTTGTAAAACAGTGCTACTCCAGGAGTCTCTTTAATCCATTTTTTAATTCCTTTAAAAAATAGCTTGTGGTCTGCAGATTAGGGTGGGGCACACAGGCTTAAGCAATATTTTGATTTATACTTTGGGTGTGGTCTTTAAGGACTAGGTGGTGATCAGGGAGGAGCAAGCTGTGTTCTGCTCAGAGAAACAAAGCAAAGAGGCAGATAGGGACTCAAATCTAGCTTGGGCTACAGTTGCCAAGTCCCGTGCCTTAGGGAGATCCTGTTTACTTCTTCAGAACTGATCTCCTGGAAGGAGCATAACTGGGCACTTTGTCTGCCAAGTGTGGTGCTTTCTGGTGAGTTGCATGAAAGCAACAGTATTTTACAAGAATTTCTCGACCTGAGTCATGTGAAATATTTGGTTGCATTCATTCAAGAACTAACAGCTCCTCAGTAGCTCCCCACAGCAGCCCCTGGTTCTCGCATTCCAGGCAAATGCTAAAGACAATTAATATATTTTGGAGTAGATTGGCAGGAAGCAGATATCTAAAAGGTGAAATTTATAATGTATGTACTGACCGTTTACTTGGCACCAAGCTTTTTGTGATTATTTTTCCTTTAACCTTCATGTTCGTTCTAAAAAGTTAATGTTTTTGTCCTTTTTTACTCTTCTTATATTTGAGAAACTAGCAACACAAGGGCAAAATTCACTTTTCTAATGACATTTAAATGATAAACTATGAGCTTGAGGTAGAATCCAGGCTGTTGTTCCAGTTCAGGGTAGGGTATATTGGGGGAAGAATGTGGAGATGGGGTGGAAATTCTGAAGGACAGAATGGGGAGGTTTACCCTGAAAGTCCTAGTTTATTTATGCCCAACTAATCTAAGGAAAACAAGCATTAAAGTTCTACTACTATGGTCAAAGATCCAAGCAATAACTGTATTGCTTTCCTTGGACTACTTCGTTTTCTGATTATTAGACATTTTTTTATTTTCTTGCCTAATACTATTCTAATTACATATATATGCTCTGTGTGTATATATAAATATATATATATTCATACAAACATGTATGTATGTGCACATACAATTATATACAAATGCACATATGTAAAGTAATGTAACTATATATGTTTACATTTGTATATATATTTATTTCTTTTTAAAGATTGTTTTGGTAACTTTGGGAAACCAGATTGTAAAAGAACTTTAGAAGTCATAGAATTGTTTTTTCATCTATAGTGAAAAAACTGAAGTTCACAGAGTTTTAATGAAGGGGTTAAAAATCACAGTATTATTCCACTAGTTAGTAACAGACTGCATACTAAAATGTCAGATTGCTGAAGCTTCCTCCAAATTCACATTTCGCTATGGACAGTAAGGATAAAGACTGCTTCAAACACAAATGATGTTTGTATTCTCAATGAGATAGACAGGAAATGATACTCTACCCAAAAGAGTTTGCCTCTTTGATTCTGTTTTCTTGTATAGCTTCATTCTCTTAATACCACAAGCCCACCCACTCTTACATTCTTGTGCCAAACCACATATTTTGGAACCAAAATTAAATTAAGTAGTTGAGAAGGTGGAACTTCTGATAGTTGTAAAGTGTGTGGGTGAAAGAGAAAGTCAAGGCCATCTGCCCTCATAGGCATTTTATGGACTGGGTTAGACCAAATGGTTTAAAGATATGCAAAAGGCAGGGAAATATCTTTGTGAGGATCTCTAGAGTGTCAGAATACGATGATGAAAAGACAAAGTACCCAACTGTTTGCTTGTGCTTTGGTTTTCTTTGTTAAATCAGGGCTATTAATAGAACTAATTTAACAGTTACTGCTGGCATATTCACCAAGTGAGGCAATCTAGATAAAGCACTCAGCCATCAGCTACCATCTAATAAACAATTAAGAAGGCCATTGTAACTACTACTTGAAACTTGCATTCATTTAACAGTGTGTCTTAGAAATCTTTATGTTTCAGAACATGTGAATCAAACTCATATTTTAAAACTATTTTAATAACAAATTTACCATGACTTATTTAACATTTATTGCAATGTTGATCATTTCAGTGGTTTTGAATGATTCTAATTTAAGCCACTGTTCAGGGACTAATGGTTCAGTGTAGTGGTAAGGCATTTGTCTACCATGTTTATGGGCCTGGGTTCCATCCCAGCATCAAAAACACAAAGAAACAAACAAAAACAATTTGTGTCCATGAGTCAAATATCTGAGTTAAACACTGATAAGTAGAATTTCTAAGTCAAAGAATATAAACACAATTATAAATTCATAAGTTGATGTCCCCACTGAAAACATTAATTATAATAATCATATCACTGGCACATTCAAAAACTTTGGAAATCATTAACTTCATGGATACCAAATATTGTTTTAAAATCCCTGATTTAGTCTTTGTGGGTCTTTTCTAAAAAGTCTCATCTTGGGCTGATGGCGTAGCTTAAGCAGTAAAGCACTTGCCTAGCAAGCTTAAAGCCCTGAGCCTGAGTTCAAATCCCAGTGCCACCAAAAAAAAAAGTCTCATTTTATTATAAGGCAATGAATTCTTATTTCAGAGAAATTTTTAAGAAACACAATCAAATGAATATTAACAATATCTATAATTCTATCTTCTAACTTGATGCAAATTTTGGGTTTATTATGGTATAACATGCATACAGTAAAATTCACTGTAATTAGTGGAATGAGTTTTTTCACATGCATACAGTCATTTAAACACCATACAAAACAAGATATAGAACAACCCATACTAACAAAAGTTTCCTTCATCCTACTTTGCTGTCAAACTCATCCCTCAACCCCAAACTCCTGGCAACCACTCTTTACTTACACTTATGCCTTTTCCAGAGTATCATCAAAATGGAACCCAAAAGCAAGTACAATTTTAAGTCTGGCCCCTTTCACTTAAAAAAGTACATTTAAGATTCATTAGCATAGGTGTGTTTGTGGGTAGTTTATTCCTTTTTATTCCTGAGTACAAATCAATTGTGTGGCTCCACCAAAGCGGCCATCCATTCCCGCATGAGGATCAATAACCTGTTTAAAGTTTTGTAGAATTACAAACAAAAGTTTCATAAGTATTCACAAGTAAGATTTTTGTGTAAACATATGTTATCATTTCAAGTGAGTAAAAAATATAGTGAGATTTCTGGGTCATATGGTACCTGTTTACATCTATAAGAAATTGCCAAACAAGTGACTGCAACATTTTCAGTTTCCTCCAGCAATAAATGAAAGTTTCAGTTCCTCTGTGTTTTTCTTAGAGCTTAGCATTGTGGATATATGTTAACTTTTTAAAAATTCTGCAAAGTGGTTGTAGCAGTTGACATTCCCACCAGATTGAAAAACAGTTCCAGTTCCTTTATAGACTTATCAACACTTGGTATGACCAATCTATTCAAATTGTAGCCATTCTAGTAAGTGTGCAGTGGTACCTCACTGTGGCTTAATTGATAGTTCCCTAAAGTAGAATTAAATTATCTTTTTATGGGTTTATTTGCTATACATTTGTCAATTTTTGCCCATTAAAATTTATTTGGTTGCTCTCTGACCTTTTCTCTTTTTTTTTTTTTTTTTTTTGCTGTAAGAGTGGGAACAAAACTTTTCTAAATTTCCTAAATCCTAAAGGGAAGCAATATTGTGTATTTATTTTTCTCAGATTACGGGTAAAGATAACAATCTTTTCAGGTTCACAAGCCTTTGATATTTGTTCTCTTGTAAATTTGGTATTTGCACATCTAATTCATACTGACTTATATAACTACATAGAGTGAGAATATCCTGTCGGAGACAAGGCTCCCTTTGTGAGCCATTCTGTCTTGACCTTGCCCTGGAAAATTTTGCGGTTGTTTGTCCCAACTTCTCCACCTCCAGCACAAGATGGCGCCATCCCTGCTTCTCTTCCGGGAGTTTACCTTGCCGCCTGCGCGAACGTGCACCCTATCAGAAGTCCTATAGCAGAACCAGCCAACCAGCCTGCACCTCTTAGTACCCCTCACTCCCTCAGCACATAAATACCCCTGTGTGAACAATAAAATTTTGCAGCTTGATCAGAACTCCTGTCTTGCTGTCTCCTTCGTGTCTCTTGTCCCTTCATTCTTCCCCTTCTAGGTTCGCTACCCACGCTGATGTGCCCTGCAGGACGGGACAATATCCCATTAATAATTTTATTCATTCAACAGATACTTTTTGAACAATTACAACATCCCTGAATATCTATATAAGGTGGGGTCCTAGCCCTACTCCTAACCAAACCAGGACTTTTATGAGTAGGAAATTTACTTATTGTGATAATATGTTGATATTCTGAAGTTGTTTTTCTAGCAATTATGCTGTCTTAACTAATTTGGTGGGGAGAAGTACCCTATGAACTGCTGCTTTTAGGAAACGATCTGGTTGAAAACGCTGTATCAGGGATTCTTCAACAAAATACTTCTTAGATGAGTTGACTTCAATTGCTCTCATTCATTTCACTTTCTTTTTTTTTTTTAGCTTTAAAAACCTAGATGGAGAAAAATTACATAGACTGAGATGCAGTTGGTCAATTATAGTAATTAAGTTCTCACAAAGCATACCTTCTTTGCTATATTTTCTCCTTCCCTCCCTCCTAATACATTATTCACCTTTGGATCACTCTCCTGAGCACATGCTCAGAGATATGCACTCCTACTTAACAAGGCCACATATGCAGATTTCTCAAGCTTCACCCTACTCTTGCAAGAGCCAACAGTCTGCAAATGCTGCTGAGTCACGTGGCAAAGAGCAAAGCAGTGGCAGTAGGATGAGAATGGGTGTGAGGACAAGACGAAACACTGACTCAACTGTCCTGGACAATGGTAGATGCAGGAATGGTTGGACTGACTCAGAAATGTGTCTTCAAGGTGTTTATGGTCTGTGTCTATTTTTACCTACGTTAGTCAGAATAATTTGTGCAACTTTCGGCAAGCTGTCTGCATCAGACTTTAACAAAAGTGTCATCAGGGGACTCTGTTGAGCTGTGTAAGAAC